AATTAGCATGCTACTAGCATGATTCTAGCATAAATTAGCATGTTACTAGCATGATTCTAGCACAAATTAGCATGTTACTAGCATGATTCTAGCATGAATTAGCATGTTGTTAGCATGATTCTAGCATGAATTAGCATGTTACTAGCATGATTCTAGCATGAATTAGCATGTTGTTAGCATGATTCTAGCATGAATTAGCATGTTACTAGCATGATTCTAGCATGAATTAGCATGTTGTTAGCATGATTCTAACATCAATTAGCATGTTACTAGCATGATTCTAGCATGAATTAGCATGTGAATAGCATGATTCTAGCATGAATTAGCATGTTGTTAGCATGATTCTAGTATAAATTAGCATGTGACTAGCATGATTCTAGCATGAATTAGCATGTGACTAGCATGATTCTAGCCTGAATTAGCATGTTGTTAGCATGATTCTAGTATAAATTAGCATGTGACTAGCATGATTCTAGCATGAATTAGCATGTGACTAGCATGATTCTAGCATGAATTAGCATGTAACTAGCATGTTTCTAGCATGAATTAGCATATTGTTAGCATGATAGATAGATAGATAGATAGATAGATAGATAGATAGATAGATAGATAGATAGATAGATAGATAGATAGATAGTTAGAGATAGATAGATAGATAGATAGATAGATAGATAGATAGATAGATAGATAGATAGATAGATAGTTAGAGATAGATAGATAGATAGATAGATAGATAGATAGATAGATAGATAGAGATAGATAGATAGATAGATAGATAGATAGATAGATAGATAGATAGATAGATAGTTAGAGATAGATAGATAGATAGATAGATAGATAGATAGATAGATAGATAGATAGATAGAGGTAGATAGATAGATAGATAGATAGATAGATAGATAGATAGATAGATAGATAGATAGATAGATAGATAGATAAATAGTTAGAGATAGATAGATAGATAGATAGATAGATAGATAGATAGATAGATAGATAGATAGATAGATAGATAGAGTGCGAGCATGGGTCAAACAAGCCAACCCCCGCCTCTCTACGATGTTCTGATGCTGAGATATAGCTGCTGTTATATCGTTGCTAGGTTAGTCTGTTTTGTTGCTATGGAGTTGATTGACAGCTTAGACTGATGATGTATCAAAGCTTCTTGCCAGTAGGAACAGTTAAAAACAACCCCCATGTCTCTATCACACTGCAGCATGACAATATCAGTCTGAACATCTTTAATGGCAGTCTATGGGACAGTTGCTAGGGTGCAGTATCTGGTTGTTAGGGTGTGGCTAGAAGGTTAAAAAGCCATCAGTGATTGGTTGCTTGCTAGACTGAGTTAAATGAGCTCAATCATTAGTCTGTAGGACAGTCTGATGCAGAGTTATGAGCTCACAAAGTTTGATCCCATGTAAAGTCAATGAGAGTCTTTTGCAATGGAAGTCTATGGGACGGTTTCTAGGGTCCAAAAGTGGTTGCTAGGGCGTGGCCAGAAAGTTCAAAGGTGATCAGTCATTGGCAGTTTAATAGTCTGAGTTAAATGAGCCCAGTTAGAAGTCTGTGTGACATTCTGATGCGGAGTTATGAGGTCACAAAGTTTGATCCAATGTTACGTCTATGGGATTTTTCCGACGGTCCCGGGACGTTTTTCGGGAAACCGAAAGTCGGATCAGTCGGAAAGGATATAGCAACTCGAGTCAGAATAGTTCGGAGGTCTGACCCGAGTTTGATGGTCATAGCTTGAAAGGTCTAGGTGGAGATAGAGTTTAATTTTTAGTCTCAGAAGAAGAATAATAATATAAATAATAATAATAATAATAATAAGTTTAATAGGATAACAGTAGTCTGGCTTGCTACACAAGCCAGCCTAATAAGTTTAAGTGAGATAACAGTATGTTGGCTTTTCAAGCCACCATAATAACTCATTTCTAATAACTGATTTTGTTTATCTTTGCCATGATAACAGCACATAATATTTGACTAGATATTTTAAAAGATAGTTTTCAGCTTAAAGTGACATTTAAAGAATTAACTTGGTTAATTAGGCAAGTTTGGGTAATTAGGCAAGTCATTGTTTTACAGTGGTTTGTTCTGTAGACTATCAAAAAATGCTTAAGAGGGCTAATAATATTGACCTTAATTTTTTTTAGCTGAAATAAAGCAAATAAGACTTTTTTTCAGAAAAAAAAAATTATAGGAAATACTGTGAAAAATACCTTGCTCTGTTAAACATCAATTGGGAAACAATCAATTTCTGTGTCTTGTTCTGTTTTTAAAGAGCCTCAAAAGCGCCACCGTGGGACTTTCGGTATGGTTGCTTTAGTGGGACTGTTCTTTTGCACAGTGGACACCGGGAGAGTGATGCTCGGATGGGGACCTGGCATCAAATGGCCCAGATGTTTTAAATAATTCATATTTTTTATTATGCAATCTGATTCTATTCCAGTTTTACATTTTATAAAATTACCAGCAAACAAACAGCAATAATAAAAAAGCACACTGTGTGTACATTTAAAAAAAAAAAAACGGTACAAAAGTGCATGATTGAATGTGTCAATTCACTATTTTTATTTGTTTTGGTCATAAAACTGCAGTGAAATTATGTGAAACATGCATTACACACAGAATTTTGTGTGATTTACCACATTAGTGATCTTTCACTTAGATGTCGTATTTCATTTATTCATTTTCTTTCAGCTTATGGCGCGTTTTCACTGAGTGGAACGGTATAGTTCAGTACGCTTTAATGTCCGTTTCCACTGTTAAAAAGTACCAAAAAGCAAACCGTACTGTACCAAATGTTGGGTACCATTATTAAAGAGTACTTAGAACAACAAAAGGGTAACCAAAAGGTGGACACGTAGCTGAATGCTATTGGTTTACAGACAAATATCACTACCACATACACAAGCAGGAGAATGAAAACAAAGAAAGCGCCAATTTAAAATACACAGCTAAGACATAACACCGTAATAATAAATACACATATACGTATAATAACGAGCCGCGTTCGACCCGAGCTCAAACAAACCTTGTCATGTGTTCATATATGTTGCATTTATTTATTATTTTATATAATTGCAGACGTTACAGTAGGCTATTGTCATTGATCTGCCGTTATAATCAAATCATGTTCATAGAAATCATTGGTACCCTTTTGTGGAAACGCAAGCCTGATAAAGGTGACCCGTACCAACCCACATCGTATCACTCAGTGGAAACGGGCCATTAGTCTCTATTTCCCAATCCCCTCACACATCCTATTAATAACGCCCCGTCCTGAAGCACCTTTTGCTGTAATGCCATCTCGTCTACTTGTTTCCTTAATTCATGAGTCAACATCATTGGGTTTATCCCTGAAACTCCTAGTACTTATTTCACTCTTAATATTATCCTCAATCCTTTCTTGACCTTTCGTCCAAACCCTTCCTCCTCGCTTGCAGACCAACCTTTATTCCTTTTTCCTGATTTTTCTCAGATTTGTCCTCTATCTGTGTCCTTCCTATATCCATATCATCCTAATTCTATTTTCCCAAGATTTAATCTTTGTATTTTTTGGTTATTTGAATTCAACGACATTTCTCTGACCTTTTGAATTTGCATGCTTTTTTTCGACCTCCCATGCGCCGTCTGCTTTCGCACGGAGCGATTTAAGGGGTACGGACACATGCTGACATCATCATCACATCAACACCGCACTTGATTTACGCTGATAACATGAAAAAACCTTTTAATTCAATGATTATTTTCTATTTTTCCAGACCATTCTCTGTAAACCCAAGAGATGGTTGTGCGTGAAGATCAGCAGTTTCAGAAATACTCAGACCAATCTGTCTGACAACAACCATGCCACGTTCAGTCACTTAAATCCCCATTCTTTCCCATTCTGATGCTGTTTGAACTGCAGCAGATCTTCTTGACCATGTCCGCATGCCTAAATACATTGAGTTGCTGCCATCTGATTGGCTGATTAGACATTTGCGTTAACGAATAGTTGGACAGGTGTACCTAATAAAGTGGTCAGTGGGTGTAATTTAAATTCAATTAAACATGACAGATATTGATTGTAGAAATGACACGACAATTACAGAAAATGCACACATTAATATACTTACAAAATAAGTATTACCTCGCAAAATACAAAATGATTAAATATTGATCTAAAACAAGGTGGATACAATATCCATTAATACTATGAATATTAATTAACGGTGACGGAGTGGCGCAGTAGTTAGTGTTGTCGCCTGTGTTGACCCTCGGCTGGGTCAGTTGGCATTTCTGTGTGGAGTTTGCATGTTCTTGCTGCGTTCGCTAGGGTTTCCTCCGGGTGCTCCGGTTTCCCCCACAGTCCAAACACATGCGGTATAGGTTAATTGGGTAGGCTAAATTGTCCGTAGTGAATGAGTGTGTGTGGATGTTTCCCAGAGATGGGTTGCGGCTGGAAGGGCATCCGCTGCATAAAAACGTGCTGGGTAAGTTGGCGGTTCATTCCGCTGTGGCGACCCCAGATTAATAAAGGGAGTAAGCGACAAGAAAATGAATGAATGAATATTAATTAACATGAGTTCACTAAAATTATCACAAAAATGATCAACATCCTGGTCAATAATAAAAAATAGACCAAAAGGAAAAACTAATTTTAATTAAGTTAAGCAAAAACAAATAAAGTGAAAGGAATTATAGTCACAATGAACAGTAAAGATGAAATATTGTGCTGCAACAACTCACGACTGTTGCTTTTAACCTGACAGCTTTCATCAGCACATTCTTAAATAAATATCTTATAATTATGTAAAAATTAGTAACTAATTTGTATAAATAATAACGAATATTAATAAAGTATTTTAATGTATACACAGATAGAACAATAACACTGTTTTACTGCAGACAAAAACACCAGGCAATATTTCACTGCAGATCAGTTCATCAGGAGACCAACTGCAGACTGAGTGTCTGTGTCTGTGTGTGTGTGTGTGTGTGTGTGTGTGTGTGTGTGGGTGTGTGTGTGTGTGGGTGTGTGGGTGTATTAGTGTGAGATTGTGAAGTCAGAAAGACAGATGGAGACACGACCCACACGACTGCCACACAGTGAGTTAAGGACACTGCTCAGACATGGAGATGTGTCTGTGCATGAGTGTGTAGTGTGTTTGTTTGAGTGTGAGAATGTGTGTTTGTGAGAATGTATGAGTCTAAGAGTATGACTATGTGGGTAGGAGTTTGTGTGTGTGAGCACATGTATGTGTGTGTTTGAGTGTGTGCTCATCTGTGTAAGAGCGTGACTTAAGGGCGTCACACACCAGATGCGCCGCTCGGTGCTGCGATACAGCTCGCACATGACAGTTGAAAGTATCGCATTGAAAGTATCTATTTAAAATTAAACTATTCAGATGGCGCTCTGTGGCGCGGCAGAAATATGAACAGTGTCCTGAGACGTGGCTGGGCGCCGCGGACAGCCGCCGATTTGCAGCACCGGTGTGTGTCCCCTGATAGAAACCTATGTTTAGAATTCTGAAATGCATAGCACTGGGTGGCGCGAAGAGGGCAGCGCTTCCGGTGTGTAACCCCCCTAAGAGTGTGTTGTGTGTGTGTGCACAGGAGAGTGTCTATGTGTAAGATAGTGTTGTGTGTGAATGTGTGTCTGTGTGCATATGTGAGTTTCTGTGTGTGTGTGTGTGTGTGTGTGTGTGTGTGTGTGTGTGTGTGTGTGTGTGTAAGGATACAGCAAGCGTCTGCTGGAGGTCTCGCTGGGAGGAAGTTGTGTGAGTGACTCCACTAAAGTCTCCATCTTTATCCTCAGATCATCAGGAGGAGAACGAGCACAACACTACACACACACACACACACCAGTGGTATTGACACTTAGAACTCAGAACTAATGACACACTCAGAATATTTGAGACCATCAGTCTCATTTTGTGTGTGGTGTGTGTGAAATACACACCTGTGTGAGCATCACTCTCAGTGTGTGTGTAATGTACACCTGTGTGAACATCAGTCTCTCTGTGTGTGTGTTACATACCTGTGTGAGCATCAGTCTCAGTGTGTGTTTTCTGTCATCAGTCAGGTTTGTTACTCCTCGTTTCTCCACCTCTTCACACACACTCTCAACCTCAGTCCACCACTGAGAGACGCCACAGCTGAAACACACCAGCTACACACACACACACACACACGCACACAGATAAATCCACAGAGCAGTGTTAAAGTTTGTGTTTGTGTGTATATGATGAGAGTGTGTGTGTGTGTATGAGTGTGTTACCAGTGTGAGCAGCTGCAGTACAGCAGGCCTCAGTTTTTCATCACTGGACAGCAAAGAGAAGAGCAGGAACCGAGTCCATGGCTGACGACACACCATCTGCTCAACTACGCACACACACACACGGACACAATTACACACAGACAAACACACACACACACACACATACACACACTCTCTTTCATTCATTCAGAAGTCTTCAGAACTGGTGAATCCATAAGTGTGTACTACTCTACATTAGTGATAAGCTCTCAGCATAGTGGGCATGTCAGTCCCTTAGCAGTGAGCATGCCTGTCCCTCAACAGTGAGCATGTCAGTCCCTCAGCAGTAAGCATGTCAGTCTCTCAGCAGTGAGCATGTCTGTCCCTCAACAGTGAGCATGTCAGTCCCTCAGCAGTAAGCATGTCAGTCCCTCAGCAGTAAGCATGTCAGTCTCTCAGCAGTGAGCATGTCTGTCCCTCAACAGTGAGCATGTCAGTCCCTCAGCAGTAAGCATGTCAGTCCCTCAGCAGTACGCATGTCAGTCCCTCAGCAGTGAGCATGTCTGTCCCTCAACAGTGAGCATGTCAGTCCCTCAGCAGTGAGCATGTCTGTCCCTCAATAGTGAGCATGTCAGTCCCTCAGCAGTGAGCATGTCAGTCCCTCAGCAGTGAGCATGTCAGTCCCTCAGCAGTGAGCATGTCAGTCCCTCAGCAGTGAGCATGTCAGTCCCTCAGCAGTGAGCATGTCAGTCCCTCAGCAGTGAGCATGTCAGTCCCTCAGCAGTGAGCATGTCAGTCCCTCAGCAGTGAGCATGTCAGTCCCTCAGCAGTGAGCATGTCAGTCCCTCAGCAGTGAGCATGTCAGTCCCTCAGCAGTGAGCATGTCAGTCCCTCAGCAGTGAGCATGTCAGTCCCTCAGCAGTGAGCATGTCAGTCCCTCAACAGTGAGCATGTCAGTCCCTCAGCAGTGAGCATGTCAGTCTCTCAGCAGTGAGCATGTCAGTCCCTCAACAGTGAGCATGTCAGTCCCTCAGGCGTATCTGTACCGCTGTCAGGGTTCCTTCTGTGCAGGAAGTCCATCAGAGACTTTAGACAGTTTACAGCAGCGCTGGCCATCAGATCCTGCTTCTGCACACACACACACACACACACACACGCACACACACACAATACTACTCAATACTCAATTACACTAAACAACGGACAGTCGTAATGTTCCCTGTGTGTGTGTTTGTGTGCGATGTTGCATGTGTGTAAATATGTAAAAGTGTGTGTTTGTGTGTGCGCCTGTGATGAGTAATGTGTATGATTGTTTCTTGTGTGTGTGTGTGTGTGCGTGAGAGTGTGTGTGAGATTGTTTTCGCCAATTAATTTAATCTGTGTATAACTGTGTGATGTGGATGAGTGTTTTAGTAGTGTGTGTGTGTACCGTTAGCATAAGCGTGCCGAGAGCCGTGATGAGGCTGTTAGCGCCGCTGTGTCCGAGCGGGTGCAGAGCGCCATCAGCTGGCGGCAGGGGTCTCTGTAGCACTACATCGCACACACACACCAGCGTAGACTCGTCCACATCCAAACACACCTGCACAAAGCGCACACTGCACACTACACACACACACATCAGTCTTTTAATCCAATATTGAGTGTGTGTGTGTGTATGAGTGTATTTGTGTGTGAGTAAATCTGAGAGACAGTGTTAAATAGTGTGAGTGAGTAAGTATGCAAGTTTGAGGGTATGTGTGTGTGTGTGTGTTTGTGTGTGCATTTAAGTGTGTATATTTGCATAGGTTTGTGTGTGTGTGTGATGAATGTAAGTGACTGTGGGTGTCTGTGTGTGTAATATATGTGTCTGTGTGTCTCACTGAGCATCAGTGTGTCCGTCTGCTTCTTATTGAAGGTCAGTCGTCTCAGAATCTGATGAAGATCCACCCTGACGCTCCTCTGCACCTTCAACACACACACACAGACCTCTGTAAGCTGTAATACTGACACACACACACACACACACACACCACACATGTCTCACCTGAGCGGAGTGTTTGTGCTGCAGCAGCATGAGGGAGGAGAGCAGGAGCAGTGAGGAGCAGCTCAGTGATGAAGATGATGATGAAGATAACAGCTCCTCCAGCAGCTCCATCAGTCTGACATTACCCAGCAGCAGACACACCGCTGACACACACAAGCATTGGTATTAGTGGTTTATGAGGACTCTCCACATGTGTAATGTAGTTTATTTATACAGTAAATCTGCTTATTATACGGCTCTCCCCCACCCCTAACCCCACCCTAACAAAGACACATGTGCACAACACTGAACGTTGAAAGACCCTGATGAGCATGATTTCAAACAGTTTGAATTATGGGGACACAAAGCATGTCCCTTTAAACCACCTCAACATTACACCTGCCATGCTCAAGACAATTTACAAATGTGTCCTCATAAATCCCATAAGCAAGCACACAGAGTGGAGTGTGTTGTGGTGTGTATGTGTGATCTGTGTGTGTTACCTCGGTCAGTGGCGTGTGACGGACACACACACAGGAAGCAGTACAAAAAGTTGAAGACAGACAGAAGCAGCTCAGGGTTGGTGGAGTTCAGCTTTGCTACCAGATTACTGACTACACAAACACACACACACACACACACACACCTGATGAACACAACATAATAGCATCTGTGTGTAGTCAGTGTGTCCACTCTGACTGTGTGTGTGTTTGTGTGCGTGTATCATACTGTTGTACAGCAGTGTGTCTGCTCTGTGTGTGTGTCATATTGTAGTATAGCAATGTATAGTCAGTGTCCACTCTGTGTGTGTGTCGTACTGTGGTAAAGCAGTGTGTAGTCAGTGTGTCCGCTCTGCATCATACACAGCAGCTCCAGCAGCACAGTCAGCACGTCTGAAACACAGCAGAGGGGGAGGCTTCTTTATATCTTTATATACACTAATAATAGACTTCTGAGTATTTCAGAAACTGCTGATCTACTGGGATTTTCACACACAACCAGGGTGTCTCTAGGGTTTGCAGAGAATGGTCCAAAAAAGAGAAAATATCTAGTGAGTGGCAGTTCCAAATGCTTAGTTGATGCCAGAGATCAGAGGAGAATGGCCAGACTGGTTCCAGCTGATAGAAAGGCATCAGTAACTCAAAAAATTACTTGCTACAATCGAGGTCTGCAGAAAATCATCTCTGAATGCACAACACCGGGTGCCACTCCTGTCAGCTAAGGACAGGCTACAATTCACACAGGCTCACCAAAATTGGACAATAGAGGATTGGAAAAACCCTGTCCATACCTTTATGACCACAGTGTACCCAACTTCTGATGGATACTTCCAGCAGGATAACGTGCCATATCATAAAGCGCAAATCATCTCAGACTGGTTTCTTGAACATGACAATGGGTTCACTGCACTCCAATGGCCTTCACAGTCACCAGAGCTCAATCCAATAGAGCACCTTTGGGCTGTGGCGGAACGGGAGATTTGCATCATGGATGTGCAGCCGACAAATCTGCAGCAACTGTGCGATGCTATCATGTCAACATGGAGCAAAATCTCTGAGTAACATCTCCAGTATCTTGTTAAATCTATAACACGAAGGATTAAGGCAGTTGTGAAGGTAAAAGTGGGTCCAACCCAGTACTCGTAAAGTGTACCTAATAAAGTGGCCGGTGACTGTACACTCTTTATATTAACTCATGTGACCTACTGTGGTTTAAACAGGTTTCCTTCAGGCTTTGCACACTGGACAAACTCCCTACTATCATGTTGTTCATATACAACTCTACAGATGGGGCTCTATGGAAATATGCAGGAAATCTGTGGCGATAAAGGAAATTGCAATATTTTGCAACATTTGCTTGATTATGTGTTAAATTCAGCAATCGAAAATTGTGAAATCCTGGAGGGTCTGTCTATGTCAGCACAAGTATTTAACTATTTTCCTCACTGGAATATTGATAAATCTTTGTTAGTCGTGAAAGCAAAGTCATCTCTACGAGGAGAATCAGCACATTACACACTCTGACTTTCCAAGAGTGTGTTTGGCATGCAGTCCCGGGACAGAGACCTGAGCTCAGAAGATCCTCAAGCCCTGGGCCTGGACCCTCCCGTTTGAAGGGTGAGAGGGGAGTTTGAGTTCAGGTAGGTCTCAAGAACTCCGCTGCTTGTTTATGGCTAATGACAAGTTAGGAATTGCTAGGGAGATATGTACTGCTAAGAGCTCATCTATAGTGCCAATTTGGTTTGGTAAATTCACTTACTGTATTTTACGCACTATAAGGTGCACCTGAAAGCTTTAAGTTTAGTCAAAAAACATCCTGTGCCTGACAATCCGGTGCGCCTTATGTGTGCAATGAGTTCCAAAATCTGTAAAAAATGTTGTTGTGTGACTTTGGCAAGCACTCCACTTGATTGACTGTCGGAGCATTTCCCACCGACAGGGACGTAATACGTACACTCCATACGCTAGCAACAAGAAACCAATCAAAACAACATTTATTTGTTTAATGATCCCCGAAATGGCACCAGTAAAGAGACTTTACTGTGCTTACGAGGCACAATTCAATCTACAAGCCATCAGTTATGCAGTTGTAAATGGGAATAGAGCATCTGCGAAACAATTCCACATTAATGAATCTATGCTTCGGAAGTGGAGGAAGTAAAAAAATTAATTACAGCAAGTTGAGAAGACAAAACAGTTTTCGCGGAATCAAAGCAAGGTGGTCACAGTTAGAAGACCAACTTGACTGTCTCTACAGTCACCATTCGACTGAGTGCAACAAAGAGAGCACAACACATGGAGATCGAACACTTTCAAGGAGGCCCGTCTTGGTGCTTTCGTTTTATGAAAAGGCGCCATCTCTCTATCCGCGCAAGGACTACCGTGGCGCAGCAACTGCCAGCGGATTACAAAGAAAAGTTGGTCAAACTTTTCAAACACATCACCAACATGGATGAAGTCCCTCTTTTGACATTCCTGTGAACCATACAGTGGAGAAAAAGGGGGCCAGCACGGTATCGATACGCACCACGGGGTTCCAACCGCAGGATATGGTGTAAACAGAGCGTTCAAAGTGAAGTTGCGAGCAGCGTGGAAGCAATGGATGACAGACGGCAAACATACATTTACTAAGACTGGTAGGCAGCGCTGGGTGAGTTACGCCACCATATGTAAATGGATTGAGATGCCTGGGTTAAGATATCTGCTTTAACTGTTGTCCGAGCTTTTGCAAAAGCCGGCATCCTTGCTGAACAGCCACCCAGCAACGAGACTGACAATGATGAGAGAGAACACGGCATGTTTGATGGCAAAACTGCCCAGCTGTTCAATTCAGACACAGAAGATGAGGACTTTGATGGATTTGTGGGAGAAGACTGATTAAAAAAATAATATGAGTGTATTGTTAAGTAGTACAATAAAGTTCAACTAAACTACGGTAACTGTTTTGCTTCCATTACCTTTTTTTTGTAGACTGTGTGTTTTAGCGTGCCCCTTATAATACGGTGCGCCTTATGTATGGGTAAAGTACAGAAATAGACCCCATAATTGAAACTGCGTCTTATAATCCGGTGCGCAGAAAACACGTTACGTTGCATGTCTTTGATTAGTGGGAGGAAACCGGGGAACCCCACGTGAGCACAGAGAGAACATGTACACCGCACTTCGACTGGCTTGGTAAGAACTTGAACTAGTGACATTAATGCTGTGAGGCAGGGGTCACCAACCGTTTGGAAACTGAGAGCTACTTCTTGGATATCATTTAATGTGAAGGGCTATCAGTTTGATACACACTTCCTAACAACAACTTTGCTCAATTATTATTAACAATCAATGATATTCATGTAAAGACACTGATCATGTTAATGATTTCACACAATAGTTGTCAACAATGATTGGAAACAGAAATATCAATATGCAACACTTAATTTGTCTGAAAATTTTTAAGTTTTTTTAATATATAACTTAATGTCATTTTCAATTTTACACCAATGCAAGTGTGATTTAAAAGGAATAGCTACAAAAAATATTAGATGCAGCTTACTGGTATGTGGTGCATTGTTAAGCTAATTTCATAACAGGCCCACGGGCAACTCATGTAATCCTTGCGGGCGGGCACCATGTTGTTGACCCCTGCTGTGAGGCAACAGTGCTATGATATTATGTGTGTATTGCTGACTGACAATGTCAAGCCTGGCTAGTGAGGTGAGTGAGAGACGGAGTGATACAGGTTTTAACTGTATGGTGTAGGTGTAACAAGATTAAAGATGGTTTTCCTGCCTTGAGGAGCCAATAATAATGAATATGAGGACGTGGATGAGTCTGTCTTGTCACACGGAAAAGGATGGAACATTACGAGCTTGAAAAATGGAGACCTGTGTGTGTGTCTCTCTGCAGGACGCTGAGCAGAAGCAGTCTCATCTGCACACAGAGGTCAGGGCTCCTGCTGATGATGATGCTGCTGTCAGCCGACTGGAGGAAACACCGCAAAACACACAGAGCTGACACACTCGCTGAGGAGGAGGAGTCACACGCTACTGCCTGAACACACACACACACACACACACACACATACATACACAGAAATATTAAACACTCACAGCTGACAACTCGCTGAGGAGTCACAAGCTACTGGCTGAACACACACACAGCGTGAACTCTTGAAATAGATATAACAGTTATATGTCTTACATGAGGATCAAATCCATATTCGATTAATTGTGTTTGTGAAACTCTGAAGGTTGAGTTTACCCAACGTTAGATTTTACTTCGCAAAATGACAGTTGAGGGGCTTTATGTAATGTGTAGTGGTGTAATTAAGAGTTTCTATAAGTGAAACCCTGAAATTGTATGTGTATGTGTGTGTGTGTGTCACCAGAGTGGCCATCAGCGCTGGCGGGTGTGTGTGCAGCAGCTCCAGCAGCTCCTTGTCCTCCTCTTCAGATGTTTGCTTGAGTCGCTCTGCTAATGCTAGCGCACCGAAACGCTCTGTCAGCTCAGGGTGCGAGAAGAGGAAGTGCAGGACGGAGAGAGGGAGAGAGCGAGAGAAGAGCGCAGGACAGGACGACAGAGCTGCACTCAGCACGCTCACTGACACCTACACACACACAAACCCCACACCATTACTACACACCAAATCTGCTGCAGAGTTTTTATTGAACATTGAACAGTTTTCAGTGTGTTTGTTTTGGTTCTTACACCTTTACAAAAGGTTGGTTCTTACACCTTTACAAATTAAAGCACTCTTCATTTTTAGTGTTTTTTTTTCAAAAGACATTTCAAGAGTTCCCACTTAGATATGCTTGGCACTTATAGCAGGTTTGGCATGCTGTCACGGGAGAGAACCCTGAGCTCGGAGATATTTGAGCCCAGGGCTCCCGCCCAGTTTAGAAGCATATCAGGAGAACCGAGATCAGGTAGGTCTCGATCGCTCCCCCTTTAAAAGGGGAGAAAAAGGAGGAGATGGGGTGGAAGGGGGGATTCTTCCAAAACGAAGAGTGCAATAAGGAGAAAGTGATCCATTTACATTAAGCTAGGATCATTCTGATTGGATTATTACTGATTACGGTTGAGTGGCCAGCGGTGCACAATCATATCACGTGCTCCTCTCGAAATTAGTTTATGAAACTTCACATAAACACAGATACACACACCATCACATTATCAGTGTTGCCAAATTGGGCGGTTTCCTGCCCAATTGGAAAGTTTTGAATTAAATTTTGCGGGTAAAAAATGGCAATCACAGGTTGACAAAATTTTGGTGGATTTGAAACGCAAATTTTTTATTCAGCTTACTTAACAAAACATAACTGTGTGCTCCTACTCCATTCAGTTATTAGTGACCAGTGCATAGCACAAACCGGGTAGGCCCAAACACAAGAGAAGTTGGAGGAAATCTGACTCCCCTTCGCATGTATGCGCATCACGCATCGCTTGCAATTAAACTCACAGCGGTTTATTATGACACTTTATTCGCAATTGACAGCAAGACCAAACATAGCAGCATTGTCTGATTGACAAAAAGCACCTAACTATGTTCA